TACTACCGTACCGTCCACTACTCTTTACTTTAGACCTCCTACCCTATCCTATCCTTCTCTAGCTCTCTCTCCTCCTCCAACTTGTAACCTTCTCTCTTCTCTACTCATCCTCCTCCTCCTCCTCCTCCTCCTCCTCCTCCTCCTCCTCCTCCTCCTCCTCCTCCTCCTCCTCCTCCTCATCCTCATCCGCCTCCTCCTCTTCCTCCCCACTAGACCCGTCACTAATGTCCCAAGGATCCGCGCCATTTCGAGCCTTGGTGGGCACGTCCTCCTCCTCCCCTCCACTGCTATCCGCCGCCTCCTCCTCCTCACCCTCTTCCTCTCGCACGGATGTTGCCTTCCTCTTTCCCTTGGTAGGCTTCTTGGCCTTCCCGTTTCTCTTCCTTTTAGCGGTCTTTGGCCCCTTCTTCTTCCGCTTCCCAATGTTCCCGAATAGGTCCCAATCAATGGTGCATAGCTGCTCATTCCCCTCTCCCTCCTCCTCGTCGTCCCCCACTTCCTCTTCCTCTGCTGCTGCCGGTTCCACGGCACTCCCTTGCTGGAGGGTGCCGTTGGCCAGATCGGCATAAAGCTTCTCCCTCTGCCGTGATTTCCTATCGAAAGCATCCCTGGCCCTCCTGGCGAACGCCACCTCAGTCACATCCATCATCTTGTTGGCACTGAGGCGGTTACGGTCCCGCCTCTGCACCCGTGCAATGGCGGACCAGTAGCGTTCGACCTCAGAAGACGTGACTGGCTGTGACAGCACCGTCACAGCCATCCCCATGAGCGCTCGCAATTCCCCCCCATACATCAGCCACCACTCTGCCTCCGTCAAGCGCCCACTCGCCACCAACACCGTTGCTGCCCAACGGGCATCATCGGACCCTATCAGCCCCTCTCCTTTATGAAACTGCGTCAACTGCGCCAACAGCAGCGCGCGTTGTGCGACGTCTCCCCCACGGGCCTGGATCACCGCTTCCGCCCCAAGCCTTACCTCGGGATCGTTCTTCACCTCTTTGCCGTACTGATTGCGCGGGTTCAGAAGCCACCCCATAGCATGGAGTGGATTGTGGAGCTGGGAGTCCCACCTCCTTGCTATGATAGCCTTGATGGCGGCCAGAAAGGCCGGCTTGTCTTTGGCCGGCAAGAGAGTGGTGCGTTTCAGCATCATTTTGGCTGCCCATGGGAAGAACCGGAGAGCACGAGGTGAGCACAATTGGCGGGAAGGGTATACAATAGCCAGAACGTGCGGCAATTCACAGCTTACCTGCCGCCTCTGCCGCATTGTTTGTCTTCACCGTGGCATCTAGCATGAGGCCATAGATCTGGCCCATGACTAGAGCACGGGTGTCAACCACCCGCAGCACTTCATACACGGGTGTCATGAGGCGGAGGACCGCTGTCGCGCACTCCCAAAAGACCTCATCCAAGAGGAGCTGGCGGACAGCTCGCCCCTCCTCAGACCGCGCCACCGCCACCGACTCCCACTCCTCACTGATGATCATCTCCTTGAGCGCTTTCTTTACTTCCAGGAAGCGGGCAAGCATGATAACTTGCGTGCCGAAGCGTGTTGCACTGGGCCGCACCAAGGACAAAGTGCTAAACAACTCGTGGAAGAGCGTGACGGCAAACGCGCTTCCCTTGACGATCATAACCACCCTGTGCACCTGGTTGAGCACTCGCCGCACAGCACGGACCCTCCCGATGTCGTGGAGCATCAGGTCCAGGACGTGCGCCGCACATTTGTTGAAAAACACTGCAGGAAAACCGTCCCGGAGGATGTCGGCCGCCCTACGGTTGTTGGACGCATTGTCCATGACCACCTGCACCACCTTCTTGTCTCCAACCTCGGCGATTGAGGTCCGGATGAGGCCGGCCAAGTACTCCCCCGTCTTCTTCGCGGTCTTGGAGTCCACGGTCTTCACGATGACAGGCGCCGTGTCATTGTGGGCTATGACACACACGAGCCCACGGCTCTTCATGCAGGTCCAGCCGTCCACGGAGATGGTGCAGCCGCTAGTGTTCCAACTCTCCTTCAGGGGCCTTACAAGGTCCTCGGTATCCGCTACCAGTTTTTGAAGCAAAACACCAGAAACCCTGAAGGGGGATGGGAGGGTGTATTGTTTCCCGAAGGCAACAGCCGCATCCACGAAGTTCTGCACGGCTGGCGACTTGGACGTGTGGAACGCCCAATCGTTATCAGCCACTGCAGCGGCCCATAGGTAGTCCAGTCGAGCGCGTGCAGAGTCATCCACCATGTCGCGGATGTCCCGCTGTCGAGTGCGGCGAGAGGGCTGGATGTCTAGGGTTGAAGTGGAGCCAAGGGTTGACGGAGTGGTGCTTCCAGAAAGCTCATTAGTAGCTGCTTCCTCGCGAAGTTTGATGGCGACTTCGTGGGTGCACGGCGTCACATTCTTATCTTTGTCCTTCGGCGTCCCATAGATGTGCTCTCCTATGCGTGTAGCATTAGCAGTCACGGATTCGGAGCAGTGTACGCATTTCGCCGTTAAGGTGCCGTCTGGTCCCTTAGTCGTTGTAACGTGCTTCCACAGCGGCGATTTCTGCCTCGCCATGGCGTATGTCCTGACAGGCACGAACCCTAGTGGAGCACCCTGAAGACTAAACTAGAGCAGAACTATGCTCAGAATATGATTAGGAGTGGCTAAACCGAGCTCCTAAGTACCTCGTTGTGGAAGGTGGGTGTGTTGTGTCGAGTGGGTTTTTGAAAAGGTTGAGTTCACGGGATGTATTCTGATTGGTTAGATTGGTTTCGCATCGCGACTTTTGGATGTGTCGCGACTGCGAGCGAACCAAACCTTCGCCGTGCGAAAATGTTTAACGAAAATCACGAAACATGGGGTCGAATGGGTACCGTTCGCCACATGTTAGAATGTCGCGCCTCGGGAAATTGTACACGTTCCGCTTTGGCGACTCATGCCAACGAGTTGGCGAAACACGTAAACTCGAAATTGGCCTCGCCAAATGCCCAAATGTCACGACGCGAAAGAGTCGTGACATTTGCGACGCAGGGAAAAAACACATTCGTGTGTACGGTTGTGAGAGAAAATCACGGTTGGGAGAAATGTGCGTGTGACACTATGATTCCTGATATACACAGACCCGGTTTCAATTTTTCGGTCGAATTATACGGTCGTATTTTTGAACCAAACACAAAAAACCTCAATCCACCGTATTAAACCGTATTTTACGGTCGTATTATACGATTCCGTATTATACGGTGAAAATTCAATAATACGGTCGTAATTTTGAACCTTGCCTGTAAGGCTCCTTTCTGCCACACGAGCATAAGACTGGGCTAAGCTGGCTCGTTTTTGGGCCATGGAAAGCCGGTGGGCTGACAAGCCAAGCCGGAGTCTCCACTCGACGGTATACATGGGCAAACGAGTCGAGTTTTTCCTCGACTCGTCGAGGGACTCGAAAGGCTCGAGTTTCGAGTTTGTTTTTTTGTAAAAAAAACTTGGATGCTCGAGTCGAGTTTTGCTCGCGAGTTAAAAAAACTCGTGAAAAACTCGGCTACCAAGCAAGTTTTTTCAGAACTCGCAAGTTTTTGGGGCTTGTGAGCATTTTGCCACCAGATCCGCCCGCGCCTAGCATTCCGCTGCTAGATCCGCCCGCACCTAGCATTCCGCCGCCAGATCCGGCCGCCCTTAGCATTCCGCCGCCAGATCCGGCCGCACCTAGTATTCCGCCGCCCAATCCGCCCGCACATAGCATTCCGCCGCTAGATCCGCCCGCACCTAGCACTCCGCCGTCAGATCTGAACGCACATAGCATTCCGCCGCTAGATCTGCCCGCACCTAGCATTCCGCCGCCAGATCCGCCCACACATAGCATTCCGCCGCTAGATCCGCCCGCACCTAGCATTCCGCCGCCATATCTGCCCGCACCTAGCATTCCGCCGCTAGATCCGCGCGGCATTTCCTTTCACTAAACTGGTTTCGTGGGGTGGTGGGTAAGGGGGGTGTTTACCAACGAGTCGAGTTTTACTTGACTCGGACGAGTTTTCTTTGAACTCGTCCGAGTGTTGAAAAAACTCGGTAATATGGTCGAGTTTCGAGTTTGCTTTGTGGCACAAAAAACTTGGCGAGTTTTCCTCGACTCGACTCGTGTGTGAAAAAAAGCTCGTCAAAACGAGTCGAGTAAAACTCTACTCGTCTTTTGCCCATGTATACTCGACGGGCCGGGCTGACTCGGCCCGTGGCTCGTCCGTCGTAGCAAGCCTTTGATAATGTGTGATCCCTCCCCCCCAACCTACTATCTCGTCTCTCTCGAATTGGTCACCTTTTTGACCTCTACATTTCCTTCTCGTCACTGGCCCCATTCCCTTCCCTATCGTGTCCTGCAAACACGCCAATGAACTCATATTTTCTTTCCGTGCGTCCACCCGCCACATCATCACCACAGCTCTCTCAACTCCAACTTGCTCTCAGAGCAATAACCGAACCAAAACTACTTGCGCACCAGATAGGGGTGGAGAGTTTCAGAACTGCACTCTTCAAGCCTTCAAGTCTTAAGGCACACGAGTTTTGCTCATGCCTTGATTGAACACCCTGATTGGGACAGGTCACTTGCCTCCAACCAGCTCAATGGCTCCATCCCGGATGACACTGGCGTCCTCACCAAGTTGAGAAGCATGTAAGAAGTTACGCTTTTGTTGTTCTTCTCTCATCTCCTGTGCGCTCCCAAGAATCTTTCCCCACGCTGTTCAGTATACCTCACTTTCTTTGCTCTCCCTCTTTCCCTTTATTTCTCTATGGATGCATTTTCTTCACCAGCCTATCTCGTCTCGTCCGTCTCCAAGGGACGACCATCTTCTTTTGCTATTCACCCTTTGTATGGTCTTCCCCAACCTCATTGCTGTCCCGCCTCTCTTCCGTCTTGTCTTCTCTGGTATCCCGAGTCTAAGTTGCAGAAGACGCAGGGAGCGTCCTGCGTCTAGTGTCTAGACGCCATAACCTCAGTGATACTTATATTTTTGGCATTCTTTTTCCACTCAGAGATGTTTCAAGCAACCAACTGTCTGGCAGCATTCCTGCTACCATCAGCACACTCACCCAAGTTTCTCGCCTGTCAGTTGCCCTCTTGTCTAGTGCTGTCAATTTCCTCTCACAGGAGAGCTTTTCTCATGATGAGCGCGAGCTAAGAACACAAGGGGGTGACTTTGATACATACGTGTGTCCATGCAATGAAGTCATTCGTGGAGTGCCCCCTTTTTCCATTGTTTTGAATGGATGGGTTGCTGTACTTCAAATGTGGTGCTCAGTTGAATTCTCCTTACTTTGGTTAGCCCCACGATCTCTCTGTTCTTCTTACTGCCCTAGTTTCATGAAACATTTTCCTTCAAAAAGCCCACCAGCAGCATCCCACTTCGCATACTGGTGCATCATCATCCTAGAGTGCTGGTCTGGTTCTTCCTTCTTGCATTCGTACGCAATGGTAGGTCCCTCGAGAGTAATCAGCTCACGGGTTCAATTCCTGTGGAGATTGGCTCTCTACTATCTCTGGCATCCCTGTAAGGCTCCTTTCTGCCACACGAGCATAAGACTGGGCTAAGCTGGCTCGTTTTTGGGCCATGGAAAGCCGGTGGGCTGACAAGCCAAGCTGGAGTCTCCACTCGACGGGCCGGGCTGACTCGGCCCGTGGCTCGTCCGTCGTAGCAAGCCTTTGATAATGTGTGATCCCTCCCCCCCAACCTACTATCTCGTCTCTCTCGAATTGGTCACCTTTTTGACCTCTACATTTCCTTCTCGTCACTGGCCCCATTCCCTTCCCTATCGTGTCCTGCAAACACGCCAATGAACTCATACTTTCTTTCCGTGCGTCCACCTGCCACATCATCACCACAGCTCTCTCAACTCCAACTTGCTCTCAGGATCTTTGCCCTCTGCAATCACAAAGCTCACTGCTCTTACATTCCTGTAAATAATCCATTGTATTGTTTTTCTTTGTCAGAAACCTTCGTAGAGTGTGCAACAAAAGCTATTGTAGTAGCACAAGTTAGGTACGATCAAGGGCTGAGCCAGGGCAGGGCCGGCACAAATCAAGGCTAAGTGGGAATATACGCTCAAACCTGTTTGCGTTTAGCGTATACACGCTAGCGTGTATACGCAAAACGCTAAACGCTATCGAATACGCTATACGCTCGCCAATTTTTTTTTGGGGCAGCCCGGCCAGAAAATTTCAACCTATACGGTTCACTTCGGAATTGCACGACGAAGACATTGGCGGGGTCAGATGGCACGTCCGCGCTGTGTGCTAGCGTGGACGTGGGTTGAAAGTTCGTGTCGCAAATGGAAAGTCACGTTCGTCGAGTCGCGCCTGCACGTTCCCTCACATTTTGGTGTTCACTATCAGTACCGCATTCAAACCCTTCGCAACCAACACCTCTCCAATTTTTGTTGGCCATCTTCCCACTCCCACAATCAACTCGCCATAAAACAAGCACACCCCCAACATCCAACTCATTAGGTCTTCTCTCGCTACCAGCAGAGCACTAGGCATTCCCTAGCGCATGGTAGGGATGAGCAATATGACGAACACCTGTTCGGTTCGCCTCGAACGTGTTCGAGGCGAACCGAACAATATTTTTTTTTGGCCAAAATTGTTCGGGGCGAACGTGTTCGGTGTTCGCCCGAACACGTTTGCCGTTCGCTCGGCTCAGCTGGCCGAGGCGCGACGAACACGAACGTGTTCGTGATCGACACGGGCCTTCGACGAACGCCAATGTGTTCGTCGACGAATAGGCCCGCGACCAATTTTTAGGGCGCGGGCCTTGGTGTTTGGGCTCAGATCAAGGCCTTTTGCCGTTGCTTAAGTGCGGATCAAGGCCTTTTGCCGTTGCTTAAGTGCGGATCAAGGCATTTCGCCGTTGCTTAAGCTCAGATCTAGCATTTCGCCGTTGCTTAAGCGTAGATCTAGCATTTCGCCGTTGCTTAAGCGTAGATCTAGCATTTCGCCGTTGCTTAAGCGTAGATCTAGCATTTCGCTGTTGCTTAAGTGCGGATCAAGCATTTCGCCGTTGCTTAAGCTCAGATCTAGCATTTCGCCGTTGCTTAAGCTCAGATCTAGCATTTCGCCGTTGCTTAAGCGTAGATCTAGCATTTCGACGTTGCTTAAGCGTAGATCTAGCATGGGCGGTTCTAGCAGGGCGGGACTGGCTTGCGGGGTGGGGGGAGGGAATGTGAAACATTTGGATTTCACTCTACTTGGATCTGAGAAGGTCCTTTAAGGCGAACGCGAACATGTTCTGGGCGAACGTGTTCGTGTTCGCCAAAACGTACGAAATGTTTGCCTCTCTTGGCGAACTTCGAACACCCTTTCTGGTGTAAAGTGTTCGGCGAACCGAACAGTGTTCGGTTCGCCGAACAGCCATGTTCGAGCACAGGCGAACACGAACATGTTCGTGTTCGCCATTTGCTCATCCCTAGCGCATGGTGCCTATGTCGACGACTACTACCTCTCCTCTAACGCCATCGTCAGTTAACACCGTTGGCAGTTCTCAAACCCTTCTATCTGAGGCACGGGAGTATCTCCCCGACGTTGACCATGCCGTCTTCAAGCACTTCCGCATCATCAAGAGGGTCGAGGGAAAAGCTCAGCAGTACGAGTGCAAATTCTGCAGCAACGTCTACACTGGTGCTGCCATCCGATGCGCGCAACACTTCACGTCGTGGAAGGGGATGAAACGCCGTGAAGTGGTGCTTTGCAAGGATGCGCCGCAAGATGTGCGCTTGGCCATGCGCGCGAAATACGAGGCAAAGCGCGCTGCGGCCGAAGAGAAGAGGCGGGCAGCAGCTGAAGCGGTTGCCGCGGTCAAGGCTAATGGTGTGAAGCGGGCGCGCATCACCGATTACCTTGAGGGGGACGCGGCTGCAAGAAAGAGAGAAGCGGACGAGGCACTTGCGCTTGCTTGGGCCGCCCTCCATATCCCCGAGCGCCACATTGACCATCCTCTGATGGTCAATGCATTGAACCTCGTCAAGCACGCCGGCGTCGACTACGTCCCTCCCAAGAGGAAATACATCGGCGGTGCTGGCCTTCTCTCGTGTCGCAACGGGATCGAGCAGGGTTTGGTGGGCATTAAGGCGAGCTGGAAGAGGACGGGCGTGACGGTTTCGTCCAACATGATGACGGACCGCAACGGCAGACCGCAGGCCAACGTGCTTCTCGTAAACGATTCCGGCGCCGTCTTCACCGACTGTATTGACTGCAACATGGAGAGGAAAACCGGAGGTTACGTGGCGGGGATTCTTAGGCCAGTGGTGGAGGAAGTGGGTCCAAAAAACGTTGTTGCGTTCTGCATGGACGGGTGGTCAAACTATGCGGTGGCGGTGAAGCAGCTCTTACAGGAGTGGCCGCACATTCAGGATGTGCCGTGCGCCACTCACGTGTTGGATCTTCTCATGGAAGATGTCGGGAAGATGGGATGGGCTAAGCCGGTGGTCGACAAGGGAGGGGAGATATCTAGCTTCGTCCGCAACCACCACTGGACCCGAGGGTACCTGCGGAAGCCGGAATTGGTGGAGGGGAAGGTTCTGCAGGCGCTGAAGCCGGCTGGAACCCGATTCGGGACCAACTACATAGCCATATCCCGACTATGTGCGATGCGCGGCAGCCTTACCAACATGGTGACGAGCGAGGGTTGGAAGGAGTGGGCGGTAGGGGACCGGAAGAAATCGTGTGACGGGTTCAGTGCGCTGATCCATGATGCTGCCTGGTGGAAGACGGCCGAGTTCTTCGTCGCACTACTAAAGCTGCCTTTTAAGGTGATGAGGCAGACGGACGGGCATGCCGTGGGGATGATGGGGAGGCTGTACGATTTGATGCTGCAGCTGACTGAGGACGTGGGGGGCTTGCTCGATGCGGATGAGGAGCAGCTGAGCGACGGGGACAAGGACAAGATCCGCCGCATCCTCAGAGACCGCTGGGACGGCAGCCTCGCATGCGCCATGCATGTCGCTGGCCGCATCCTCAACCCCGCGAATCAGGAGGAAGATATTTTCGGCACTGATCCCGAGTGCACGAAAGTCTTCAAGGCGTTCCTCAGCCAGCAGGCCGAGTTCCTTGCAAGCCGCGAGGATGGGGGGGATGACGCGTGCGACATCTTGCTTGAGCTGGGGGACGGGCTGAGGGCGTTCCTTGACATGAAGGGTTCTTTTGGGATGCCGGAAGCCGTGGCACAGAGGAAGCTGGTGAAAGAGGGAAAGTATAGCATGGTGAAGTGGTGGCAGTGGAATGGGACTGATGCCCCTCGAGTGGCGGGGCTCGCGGTACGGGTGCTGTCTCAGGCCGTGTCAGCCTCACCTTGTGAGCGTGGATGGTCCTCGTGGGATGCCGTCCACACCGCACGTCGCAACAGGCTCGGATCCGCCAAGTGCAGGGACTTGGTCTATGTTGCGCACAACTGGAATGTTGTGCGCAACTGGGACACGCGCGTTGATGCCTTGCCACATGTGGTGCCCGGGATTGGAGCGGAGCCTCCAATCCCGGCAGGATACAATGGGCTGGAAGACGAGACGAAGGGAGAGGATGAGGAGGAAGGCGAAGACGACATCCTCGAAGACGAGTACGCTAACTAGAGGGGGCATATGTGGCATTTAGTAGTGATGATAGTGATGATAATAGTGATGACAGTAGTTATGTGTAGGCCGTGGTATATGTGTAATGTGGAAAAAAAAAATCTCTGAAACTTCAGGCCCTATATGCATATCCCCCCCCCCCCCCTCCCCCCTCCCCGCGCCTTTTTTTGACCCTGCCCGGGAAGTTTTTTTTCTGCCCGGAAAAGCGTATTTCCAAACCCGTCCCTACAGCGTATAGCGTATATAAGAGTGCGTATATACGATAAGCGTATATACGCAATAAGCGTATATTCCCACTAAGAATCAAGGTGGGCAGCTTTCCAAAGACAGTGATTCTCTGTGTTTGAACCACATCGTTTTATTCCATTTATGTGCTCAAACATTCGTTCACAGAACAGTTAAGCCTTGGAAAGTCCGTTTACAGCATTTGTGATTCAGGCCAAACTCGGGCAACCCTGTGACGAACCACCCATGGCTGATTGGAACCCCACCTGGCCATCAGGCTGGTGAGGTTCAAAATGGGCCAACCCGATTGATCCTTCCTCATGTCCAGTATCATGCTAATAATCACCGTCCCACCTTCCTTCTCACCAATTTGTCCATCGCCCTTGCATGCCTCCCACGTGTCCCTCGTCTCCCTGTCTCGGACAGCTCCCTCGCTAACAACCGGCTCACCAGCTCCATCCCCGCTGGCATTGGCTTGCTGACAAAGCTGGTAGCCATGTAAGGATCCATTGTAGGTGCTTCGCCCACATTCCTAGGCATGAGCAATAACCGAACCAAAACCACTTGCGCACCAGATAGGGGTGGAGAGTTTCAGAACCGCGCTCTTCAAGCCTTCAAGTCTTAAGGCACACGACACGGATTTTGCTCATGCCTTGATTGAACACCCTGATTGGGACAGGTCGCTGGTCTCCAACCAGCTCAACGGCTCCATTCCGGCAGACATTGGCGCCCTCACCAAGTTGACAATTATGTAAGAAGATACGCTTTTGTTGTTCTTCTCACATCTCCTGTGCTCTCCCAGGACTCTTTCCCCCCCTTTTCAGTATAGCACGACCTCTTTGATCTCCCTCAGTTCTCCCCTATATCCCTTCACTTCCCTGTTTCGATTGCTCACTTCCTTTTCCCTTCATTGAGATCTTCTCTTCTTTCTTGTGATCTTGGGAAACACACCAATGTTAGGCTATGAGGGAGCTTGGGCTTTGGCGTGGCTCGGATAGTTGCTGAAAACAAACCGGCCGAACAGAAGAACTGGTTCAATTTGTTGAAAAAAAAAATAACGGCCGCAAAAAAGAAAAACGGTATAGTTTGGGTAAAAAAGGAATTGAACCGCCCTGAACCGAACCGCGGTTATTTTTTGTGCTCATGCGTACTTTTATCATTTCACCTCACTATAACCTCAGTGGTGTTTATAATTCGGCATTCTTTTTCCACTCAGAGATTTTTCAAGCAACCAACTGTCTGGCAGCATTCCTGCTACCATCAGCACACTCACCCAAGTTTCTCACCTGTCAGTTGCCCTCTTATCTAGTGCTGTCAGTTTCCTCTCGCGAGCTAAGAACACAAGGGGGTGACTTTGATACATACGTGTGTCCATGCAATGAAGTCATTCGTGGAGTGCCCCCTTTTTCCATTGTTTTGAATGGATGGGTTGCTGTACTTCAAATGTGGTGCTCAGTTGAATTCTCCTTACTTTGGTTAGCCCCACGATCTCTCTGTTCTTCTTACTGCCCTAGTTTCATGAAACATTTTCCTTCAAAAAGCCCACCAGCAGCATCCCACTTCGCATACTGGTGCATCATCATCCTAGAGTGCTGGTCTGGTTCTTCCTTCTTGCATTCGTACGCAATGGCAGGTCCCTCGGGAGTAATCAGCTCACGGGTTCAATTCCTGTGGAGATTGGCTCTCTACTATCTCTGGCATCCCTGTAAGGCTCCTTTCTGTCACACGAGCATAAGACTGGGCTAAGCTGGCTCGTTTTTGGGCCATGGAAAGCCGGTGGGCTGACAAGCCAAGCCGGAGTCTCCACTCGACGGGCCGGGCTGACTCGGCCCGTGGCTCGTCCGTCGTAGCAAGCCTTTGATAATGTGTGATCCCTCCCCCCCAACCTACTATCTCGTCTCTCTCGAATTGGTCACCTTTTTGACCTCTACATTTCCTTCTCGTCACTGGCCCCATTCCCTTCCCTATCGTGTCCTGCAAACACGCGATTCTTTCCGTGCGTCCACCCGCCACATCATCACCACAGCTCTCTCAACTCCAACTTGCTCTCAGGATCTTTGCCCTCTGCAATCACAAAGCTCACTGCTCTTACTTTCCTGTAAATAATCCATTGTATTGTTTTTCTTTGTCAGAAACCTTTGCAGAGTGTGCAACAAAAGCTATTGTAGTAGCACAAGTTAGGTACGATCAAGGGCTGAGCCAGGGCAGGGCTGGCACAAATCAAGGTGGGCAGCTTTCCAAAGACAGTGATTCTCTGTGTTTGAACCACATCGTTTTATTCCATTTATGTGCTCAAACATTCGTTCACAGAACAGTTAAGCCTTGGAAAGTCCGTTTACAGCATTTGTGATTCAGGCCAAACTCGGGCAACCCTGTGACGAACCGCCCATGGCTGATTGGAACCCCACCTGGCCATCAGGCTGGTGAGGTTCAAAATGGGCCAACCCGATTGATCCTTCCTCATGTCCAGTCTCATGCTAATAATCACCGTCCCACCTTCCTTCTCACCAATTTGTCCATCGCCCTTGCACGCCTCCCACATGTCCCTCGTCTCCCTGTCTCGGACAGTTCCCTCGCCAACAACCGGCTCACCAGCTCCATCCCCGCTGGCATTGGCTTGCTGACAAAGCTGGTAGCCATGTAAGGATCCATTGTAGGTGCTTCGCCCACATTCCTAGGCATGAGCAATAACCGAACCAAAACCACTTGCGCACCAGATGGGGGTGGAGAGTTTCAGAACCGCGCTCTTCAAGCCTTCAAGTCTTAAGGCACACGACACGGATTTTGCTCATGCCTTGATTGAACACCCTGATTGGGACAGGTCGTTGGTCTCCAACCAGCTCAACGGCTCCATTCCGGCAGACATTGGCGCCCTCACCAAGTTGACAATTATGTAAGAAGATACGCTTTTGTTGTTCTTCTCACATCTCCTGTGCTCTCCCAGGACTCTTTCCCCCCCTTTTCAGTATAGCACGACCTCTTTTATCTCCCTCAGTTCTCCCCTATATCCCTTCACTTCCCTGTTTCGATTGTTCACTTCCTTTTCCCTTCATTGAGATCTTCTCTTCTTTCTTGTGATCGAATTCGCACAATATATTTTCTGCAAGTGGATGTCGCAATATCATAATTCCAATATTCGTGTTGCCTCACATTCTTCTAGCATTTGCCTCGTCTCGTCTTCTCCAAAGGACGACCATCTTCATATGCTAATCACCCTTTGTATGGTCTTACCCAACCTCATCGCTGTCCTCCCTCGCTTCAGTCTGGTCTTCTCTTGTATGCTATAACGTCACTATAACCCCAGTGGTATTTTATAATCTGGCTTCATTTCAGAGCCGTTTCAAGCAACCAGTTGTCTGGCAGCATTCCTGCTGCCATCAGCACACTCGCCCAACTTCTTTGCCTGTTAGTGACTCTCTACTCTAGTCTAGTGCTGTCAGTTTCCTCTCACAGGGGAGCTTCTTCTTTATGTTAAGCGTGAGCTAACAACATTAGGGGCGTACATGCATGCATTAAAGTCTTTTGCGAAGCACCCATTTAGATCCCATGATCAGAGTTGTGACTGGATGGGGTGTGGTGAAAAGTGGTGCTCAGATAAAATCTTCCTGGTGTAGTAGCCCCATTCTATTTCCCATCACAATATCACTGGTTTCTACTTACTCCCCTACTTTCATACATACACCAAATCCGGCGAGACTATCATCAGCCTTCTTCTCATCCTAGTGCTTGATCGGATCAACACGATTTGGTTCTGTGCAGTTTGGTTTGTTTTTTTCTGAATTGAGCCATCGTCCTTGAGCCACAAGTTTAGTACGGACCAGTTTGGGTGTGAATATAACCTTGAAACCAGAGAGTGTTGTAGCTTTATTTCAAGCTCTAATTTTCTCATAGTCTACGACGCCCCCTTCCACCTAGTCATGACCATGTGGCCCGGCCTGACCCGACCCGACCCGACTTGGCTGGGCCAGATGGGTTCCCGGGTCGGGCCAGCTTCGAGCCAAGCTTGTGGAGGGTCTGACCCGACCCGAGTTTTGAAATTCGGGTCAGAACTGACCCGACCCCGGGTCGGGTCGGGTCGGGCCAGGCTGACCCGCCCTGTTACGGGGTACGGGTGTGTATTAGCTGTAGTGAAAAGTGCTGTGCATGCGGCGCCCGTCAATCAGTACGAATTGGTACTAGTTTATGTGCTGGGCCCACTTATGAACGGTGGTTGTTTTAAGACATGGCGCGTGCAGCCTCGAAGGTGAAATCGCACTAGTAAAACGTGAACTCGTGAGTATACTATCCCACCAGTGCGGTCTCCTTTAATAGCAGAGTAACATCTTCATAGTAAATAGAAATGTCGGAAAACATGGTTCTGTAGGCTTTAAAATAGCTACTAACTTAGCTTAGGTAACATTAGTGGCTGAAGTTTGGCTACTTGGCGTGGCGCGTGCTCATGCTCTGATGACCGTTCAATCCTCGACATCAAATTTATGTAGGGTTTCGAACCCTACAGAGTTGGCCCGGCCCGAATTCCCCGACCAAGACCCGATATCGGGTCGGGTCAATCCTGGCTCGAAACCCGTCCCGACTCAGCCCAAGTTCTGAATTCGAGGGACTTCTTAATCCTCGTCATCAAATTTGTCTAGGGTTTCGAACCCTACAGAGTTGAAATCGGGTTGGGTCAATCCTGGCCCAAAACCCGGCCCTGACTCGGCCCAAGTTCCGTACTTGGGTCGGGTTTTAGCTCGGGTTCGGTCGGGCCAACCCGCGCGGGGCACATTTCTGAAATCCCTGACCCGACCAGCCCTAAACCACGGGTCGGGTTGGTTAGGTTTTCCCAACTTCCTTGCTCAAATGTATCTTAACAGTCTAATCAATAGAACTGCTGCTCTCACAACCACGGCCTCCAAGTTTCTCTCCTTGAACATTCCGCTATCGTTACACTGGCTGAAACATAAAAAGGAGCTGTTATCTAAAAAGAACCGTGGGAAACACACCAATGTTAGGCTATGAGGGAGCTGGAGCTTTGGCGTGGCTCGGATAGTTGTTGAAAACAAACCAGCCGAACAGAAGAACTGGTTCAATTTGTTGAAAAAAAAAAACGGCCGCAAAAAAGAAATACGGTATAGTTTGGGTAAAAAACGAACCGAACCGCCCTGAACCGAACCGCGGTTATTTTTTGTGCTCATGCGTACTTTTATCATTTCACCTCACTATAACCTCAGTGGTGTTTATAATTTGGCATTCTTTTTCCACTCAGAGATTTTTCAAGCAACCAACTGTCTGGCAGCATTCCTGCTACCATCAGCACACACACCCAAGTTTCTCACCTGTCAGTTGCCCTCTTGTCTAGTGCTGTCAATTTCCTCTCACAGGAGAGCTTTTCTCATGATGAGCGCGAGCTAAGAACACAAGGGGGTGACTTTGATGCATACATACGTGTGTCTAGGGATGAGCAAATGGCGAACTCGAACACGTTTGGGTTCGAGTTCGCTCGAACATCATCTTTTCCCGAACCGAACACAGTTCGGTTCGGCGAACACTTTGAGCAAAAAATGGTGTTCGGCGTTCGCCTGTGAAGGCGTGTTCGGGCGAACCTCGAACAGTGTTCATGTTCGTCACGGGCAAATTGCAGCGGCGGCCCGAACACGAACGTGTTCGGGCGAACATCGAACACTGTTCGGCGAACATTTTAAGCCAAAAAAAAATACTTGTTCGGTTCGCCTCGAACGTGTTCGAGGCGAACCGAACAGGTGTTCGCCACCTTGCTCATCCCTACGTGTGTCCATGCAATGAAGTCATTCGTGGAGTGCACCCTTTTTCCATTGTTTTGAATGGATGGGTTGCTGTACTTCAAATGTGGTGCTCAGTTGAATTCTCCTTACTTTGGTTAGCCCCACGATCTCTCTGTTCTTCTTACTGCCCTAGTTTCATGAAACATTTTCCTTCAAAAAGCCAGCCAGCAGCATCCCACTTCGCATACTGGTGCATCATCATCCTAGAGTGCTGGTCTGGTTCTTCCTTGCATTTGTACGCAATGGCAGGTCCCTCGAGAGTAATCAGCTCACGGGTTCAATTCCTGTGGAGATTGGCTCTCTACTATCTCTGACATCCCTGTAAGGCTCCTTTCTGCCACACGAGCATAAGACTGGGCTAAGCTGGCTCGTTTTTGGGCCATGGAAAGCCGGTGGGCTGACAAGCCAAGCCGGAGTCTCCACTCGACGGGCCGGGCTGACTCGGCCCGTGGCTCGTCCGTCGTAGCAAGCCTTTGATAATGTGTGATCCCTCCCCCCCAACCTACTATCTTGTCTCTCTCAAATTGGTCACCTTTTTGACCTCTACATTTCCTTCTCGTCACTGGCCCCATTCCCTTCCCTATCGTGTCCTGCAAACACGCCAATGAACTCATATTTTCTTTCCGTGCGTCCACCCGCCACATCATCACCACAGCTCTCTCAACTCCAACTTTCTCTCAGAGCAATAACCGAACCAAAACTACTTGCGCACCAGATAGGGGTGGAGAGTTTCAGAACTGCACTCTTCAAGCCTTCAAGTCTTAAGGCACACGGGTTTTGCTCATGCCTTGATTGAACACCCTGATTGGGACAGGTCACTTGCCTCCAACCAGCTCAATGGCTCCATCCCGGATAACACTGGCGTCCTCACCAAGTTGAGAAGCATGTAAGAAGTTACGCTTTTGTTGTTCTTCTCTCATCTCCTTTGCGCTCCCAAGAATCTTTCCCCGCGCTGTTCAGTATACCTCACTTTCTTTGCTCTCCCTCTTTCCCTTCATTTCTCTATGGATGCATTTTCTTCACCAGCCTATCTCGTCTCGTCCGTCTCCAAGGGACGACCATCTTCTTTTGCTATTCACCCTTTGTATGGTCTTCCCCAACCTCATTGCTGTCCTGCCTCTCTTCAGTCTTGTCTTCTCTGGTATCCCGAGTCTAAGTTGCAGAAGACGCAGGGAGCGTCCTGCGTCTAGTGTCTAGACGCTATAACCTCAGTGATACTTATATTTTTGGCATTCTTTTTCCACTCAGAGATGTTTCAAGCAACCAACTGTCTGGCAGCATTCCTGCTACCATCAGCACACTCACCCAAGTTTCTCTCCTGTCAGTTGCCCTCTTGTCTAGTGCTGTCAATTTCCTCTCACAGGAGAGCTTTTCTCATGATGAGCGCGAGCTAAGAACACAAGGGGGTGACTTTGATACATACGTGTGTCCATGCAATGAAGTCATTTGTGGAATGCCCCCTTTTTCCATTGTTTTGAATGGATGGGTTGCTGTACTTCAAATGTGGTGCTCAGTTGAATTCTCCTTACTTTGGTTAGCCCCACGATCTCTCTGTTCTTCTTACTTCCCTAGTTTCATGAAACATTTTCCTTCAAAAAGCCCACCAGCAGCATCCCACTTCGCATACTGGTGCATCATCATCCTAGAGTGCTGGTCTGGTTCTTCCTTCTTGCATTCGTACGCAATGGCAGGTCCCTCGGGAGTAATCAGCTCACGGGTTCAATTCCTGTGGAGATTGGCTCTCTACTATCTCTGGCATCCCTGTAAGGCTCCTTTCTGCCACACGAGCATAAGACTGGGCTAAGCTGGCTCGTTTTTGGGCCATGGAAAGCCGGTGGGCTGACAAGCCAAGCTGGAGTCTCCACTCGACGGGCCGGGCTGACTCGGCCCGTGGCTCGTCCGTCGTAGCAAGCCTTTGATAATGTGTGATCCCTCCCCCCCAACCTACTATCTCGTCTCTCTCGAATTGGTCACCTTTTTTACCTCTACATTTCCTTCTCGTCACTGGCCCCATTCCCTTCCCTATCGTGTCCTACAAACACGCCAATGAACTCATACTTTCTTTCCGTGCGTCCACCCGCCACATCATCACCACAGCTCTCTCAACTCCAACTTGCTCTCAGGATCTTTGCCCTCTGCAATCACAAAGCTCACTGCTCTTACTTTCCTGTAAATAATCCATTGTATTGTTTTTCTTTGTCAGAAACCTTTGCAGAGTGTGCAACAAAAGCTATTGTAGTAGCACAAGTTAGGTACGATCAAGGGCTGAGCCAGGGCAGGGCTGGCACAAATCAAGGTGGGCAGCTTTCCAAAGACAGTGATTCTCTGTGTTTGAACCACATCGTTTTATTCCATTTATGTGCTCAAACATTCGTTCACAGAACAGTTAAGCCTTGGAAAGTCCGTTTACAGCATTTGTGATTCAGGCCAAACTCGGGCAACCCTGTGACGAACCGCCCATGGCTGATTGGAACCCCACCTGGCCATCAGGCTGGTGAGGTTCAAAATGGGCCAACCCGATTGATCCTTCCTCATGTCCAGTCTCATGCTAATAATCACCGTCCCACCTTCCTTCTCACCAATTTGTCCATCGCCCTTGCACGCCTCCCACATGTCCCTCGTCTCCCTGTCTCGGACAGTTCCCTCGCCAACAACCGGCTCACCAGCTCCATCCCCGCTGGCATTGGCTTGCTGACAAAGCTGGTAGCCATGTAAGGATCCATTGTAGGTGCTTCGCCCACATTCCTAGGCATGAGCAATAACCGAACCAAAACCACTTGCGCACCAGATGGGGGTGGAGAGTTTCAGAACCGCGCTCTTCAAGCCTTCAAGTCTTAAGGCACACGACACGGATTTTGCTCATGCCTTGATTGAACACCCTGATTGGGACAGGTCGCTGGTCTCCAACCAGCTCAACGGCTCCATTCCGGCAGACATTGGCGCCCTCACCAAGTTGACAATTATGTAAGAAGATACGCTTTTGTTGTTCTTCTCACATCTCCTGTGCTCTCCCAGGACTCTTTCCCCCCCTTTTCAGTATAGCACGACCTCTTTTATCTCCCTCAGTTCTCCCCTATATCCCTTCACTTCCCTGTTTCGATTGTTCACTTCCTTTTCCCTTCATTGAGATCTTCTCTTCTTTCTTGTGATCGAATTCGCACAATATATTTTCTGCAAGTGGATGTCGCAATATCATAATTCCAATATTCGTGTTGCCTCACATTCTTCTAGCATTTGCCTCGTCTCGTCTTCTCCAAAGGACGACCATCTTCATATGCTAATCACCCTTTGTATGGTCTTACCCAACCTCATCGCTGTCCTCCCTCGCTTCAGTCTGGTCTTCTCTTGTATGCTATAACGTCACTATAACCCCAGTGGTATTTTATAATCTGGCTTCATTTCAGAGCCGTTTCAAGCAACCAGTTGTCTGGCAGCATTCCTGCTGCCATCAGCACACTCGCCCAACTTCTTTGCCTGTTAGTGACTCTCTACTCTAGTCTAGTGCTGTCAGTTTCCTCTCACAGGGGAGCTTCTTCTTTATGTTAAGCGTGAGCTAACAACATTAGGGGCGTACATGCATGCATTAAAGTCTTTTGCGAAGCACCCATTTAGATCCCATGATCAGAGTTGTGACTGGATGGGGTGTGGTGAAAAGTGGTGCTCAGATAAAATCTTCCTGGTGTAGTAGCCCCATTCTATTTCCCATCACAATATCACTGGTTTCTACTTACTCCCCTACTTTCATACATACACCAAATCCGGCGAGACTATCATCAGCCTTCTTCTCATCCTAGTGCTTGATCGGATCAACACGATTTGGTTCTGTGCAGTTTGGTTTGTTTTTTTCTGAATTGAGCCATCGTCCTTGAGCCACAAGTTTAGTACGGACCAGTTTGGGTGTGAATATAACCTTGAAACCAGAGAGTGTTGTAGCTTTATTTCAAGCTCTAATTTTCTCATAGTCTACGACGCCCCCTTCCACCTAGTCATGACCATGTGGCCCGGCCTGACCCGACCCGACCCGACTTGGCTGGGCCAGATGGGTTCCCGGGTCGGGCCAGCTTCGAGCCAAGCTTGTGGAGGGTCTGACCCGACCCGAGTTTTGAAATTCGGGTCAGAACTGACCCGACCCCGGGTCGGGTCGGGTCGGGCCAGGCTGACCCGCCCTGTTACGGGGTACGGGTGTGTATTAGCTGTAGTGAAAAGTGCTGTGCATGCGGCGCCCGTCAATCAGTACGAATTGGTACTAGTTTATGTGCTGGGCCCACTTATGAACGGTGGTTGTTTTAAGACATGGCGCGTGCAGCCTCGAAGGTGAAATCGCACTAGTAAAACGTGAACTCGTGAGTATACTATCCCACCAGTGCGGTCTCCTTTAATAGCAGAGTAACATCTTCATAGTAAATAGAAATGTCGGAAAACATGGTTCTGTAGGCTTTAAAATAGCTACTAACTTAGCTTAGGTAACATTAGTGGCTGAAGTTTGGCTACTTGGCGTGGCGCGTGCTCATGCTCTGATGACCGTTCAATCCTCGACATCAAATTTATGTAGGGTTTCGAACCCTACAGAGTTGGCCCGGCCCGAATTCCCCGACCAAGACCCGATATCGGGTCGGGTCAATCCTGGCTCGAAACCCGTCCCGACTCAGCCCAAGTTCTGAATTCGAGGGACTTCTTAATCCTCGTCATCAAATTTGTCTAGGGTTTCGAACCCTACAGAGTTGAAATCGGGTTGGGTCAATCCTGGCCCAAAACCCGGCCCTGACTCGGCCCAAGTTCCGTACTTGGGTCGGGTTTTAGCTCGGGTTCGGTCGGGCCAACCCGCGCGGGGCACATTTCTGAAATCCCTGACCCGACCAGCCCTAAACCACGGGTCGGGTTGGTTAGGTTTTCCCAACTTCCTTGCTCAAATGTATCTTAACAGTCTAATCAATAGAACTGCTGCTCTCACAACCACGGCCTCCAAGTTTCTCTCCTTGAACATTCCGCTATCGTTACACTGGCTGAAACATAAAAAGGAGCTGTTATCTAAAAAGAACCGTGGGAAACACACCAATGTTAGGCTATGAGGGAGCTGGAGCTTTGGCGTGGCTCGGATAGTTGTTGAAAACAAACCAGCCGAACAGAAGAACTGGTTCAATTTGTTGAAAAAAAAAAACGGCCGCAAAAAAGAAATACGGTATAGTTTGGGTAAAAAACGAACCGAACCGCCCTGAACCGAACCGCGGTTATTTTTTGTGCTCATGCGTACTTTTATCATTTCACCTCACTATAACCTCAGTGGTGTTTATAATTTGGCATTCTTTTTCCACTCAGAGATTTTTCAAGCAACCAACTGTCTGGCAGCATTCCTGCTACCATCAGCACACACACCCAAGTTTCTCACCTGTCAGTTGCCCTCTTGTCTAGTGCTGTCAATTTCCTCTCACAGGAGAGCTTTTCTCATGATGAGCGCGAGCTAAGAACACAAGGGGGTGACTTTGATGCATACATACGTGTGTCTAGGGATGAGCAAATGGCGAACTCGAACACGTTTGGGTTCGAGTTCGCTCGAACATCATCTTTTCCCGAACCGAACACAGTTCGGTTCGGCGAACACTTTGAGCAAAAAATGGTGTTCGGCGTTCGCCTGTGAAGGCGTGTTCGGGCGAACCTCGAACAGTGTTCATGTTCGTCACGGGCAAATTGCAGCGGCGGCCCGAACACGAACGTGTTCGGGCGAACATCGAACACTGTTCGGCGAACATTTTAAGCCAAAAAAAAATACTTGTTCGGTTCGCCTCGAACGTGTTCGAGGCGAACCGAACAGGTGTTCGCCACCTTGCTCATCCCTACGTGTGTCCATGCAATGAAGTCATTTGTGGAGTGCACCCTTTTTCCATTGTTTTGAATGGATGGGTTGCTGTACTTCAAATGTGGTGCTCAGTTGAATTCTCCTTACTTTGGTTAGCCCCACGATCTCTCTGTTCTTCTTACTGCCCTAGTTTCATGAAACATTTTCCTTCAAAAAGCCAGCCAGCAGCATCCCACTTCGCATACTGGTGCATCATCATCCTAGAGTGCTGGTCTGGTTCTTCCTTGCATTTGTACGCAATGGCAGGTCCCTCGAGAGTAATCAGCTCACGGGTTCAATTCCTGTGGAGATTGGCTCTCTACTATCTCTGACATCCCTGTAAGGCTCCTTTCTGCCACACGAGCATAAGACTGGGCTAAGCTGGCTCGTTTTTGGGCCATGGAAAGCCGGTGGGCTGACAAGCCAAGCCGGAGTCTCCACTCGACGGGCCGGGCTGACTCGGCCCGTGGCTCGTCCGTCGTAGCAAGCCTTTGATAATGTGTGATCCCTCCCCCCCAACCTACTATCTTGTCTCTCTCAAATTGGTCACCTTTTTGACCTCTACATTTCCTTCTCGTCACTGGCCCCATTCCCTTCCCTATCGTGTCCTGCAAACACGCCAATGAACTCATATTTTCTTTCCGTGCGTCCACCCGCCACATCATCACCACAGCTCTCTCAACTCCAACTTTCTCTCAGAGCAATAACCGAACCAAAACTACTTGCGCACCAGATAGGGGTGGAGAGTTTCAGAACTGCACTCTTCAAGCCTTCAAGTCTTAAGGCACACGGGTTTTGCTCATGCCTTGATTGAACACCCTGATTGGGACAGGTCACTTGCCTCCAACCAGCTCAATGGCTCCATCCCGGATAACACTGGCGTCCTCACCAAGTTGAGAAGCATGTAAGAAGTTACGCTTTTGTTGTTCTTCTCTCATCTCCTTTGCGCTCCCAAGAATCTTTCCCCGCGCTGTTCAGTATACCTCACTTTCTTTGCTCTCCCTCTTTCCCTTCATTTCTCTATGGATGCATTTTCTTCACCAGCCTATCTCGTCTCGTCCGTCTCCAAGGGACGACCATCTTCTTTTGCTATTCACCCTTTGTATGGTCTTCCCCAACCTCATTGCTGTCCTGCCTCTCTTCAGTCTTGTCTTCTCTGGTATCCCGAGTCTAAGTTGCAGAAGACGCAGGGAGCGTCCTGCGTCTAGTGTCTAGACGCTATAACCTCAGTGATACTTATATTTTTGGCATTCTTTTTCCACTCAGAGATGTTTCAAGCAACCAACTGTCTGGCAGCATTCCTGCTACCATCAGCACACTCACCCAAGTTTCTCTCCTGTCAGTTGCCCTCTTGTCTAGTGCTGTCAATTTCCTCTCACAGGAGAGCTTTTCTCATGATGAGCGCGAGCTAAGAACACAAGGGGGTGACTTTGATACATACGTGTGTCCATGCAATGAAGTCATTTGTGGAATGCCCCCTTTTTCCATTGTTTTGAATGGATGGGTTGCTGTACTTCAAATGTGGTGCTCAGTTGAATTCTCCTTACTTTGGTTAGCCCCACGATCTCTCTGTTCTTCTTACTTCCCTAGTTTCATGAAACATTTTCCTTCAAAAAGCCCACCAGCAGCATCCCACTTCGCATACTGGTGCATCATCATCCTAGAGTGCTGGTCTGGTTCTTCCTTCTTGCATTCGTACGCAATGGCAGGTCCCTCGGGAGTAATCAGCTCACGGGTTCAATTCCTGTGGAGATTGGCTCTCTACTATCTCTGGCATCCCTGTAAGGCTCCTTTCTGCCACACGAGCATAAGACTGGGCTAAGCTGGCTCGTTTTTGGGCCATGGAAAGCCGGTGGGCTGACAAGCCAAGCTGGAGTCTCCACTCGACGGGCCGGGCTGACTCGGCCCGTGGCTCGTCCGTCGTAGCAAGCCTTTGATAATGTGTGATCCCTCCCCCCCAACCTACTATCTCGTCTCTCTCGAATTGGTCACCTTTTTTACCTCTACATTTCCTTCTCGTCACTGGCCCCATTCCCTTCCCTATCGTGTCCTACAAACACGCCAATGAACTCATACTTTCTTTCCGTGCGTCCACCCGCCACATCATCACCACAGCTCTCTCAACTCCAACTTGCTCTCAGGATCTTTGCCCTCTGCAATCACAAAGCTCACTGCTCTTACTTTCCTGTAAATAATCCATTGTATTGTTTTTCTTTGTCAGAAACCTTTGCAGAGTGTGCAACAAAAGCTATTGTAGTAGCACAAGTTAGGTACGATCAAGGGCTGAGCCAGGGCAGGGCTGGCACAAATCAAGGTGGGCAGCTTTCCAAAGACAGTGATTCTCTGTGTTTGAACCACATCGTTTTATTCCATTTATGTGCTCAAACATTCGTTCACAGAACAGTTAAGCCTTGGAAAGTCCGTTTACAGCATTTGTGATTCAGGCCAAACTCGGGCAACCCTGTGACGAACCGCCCATGGCTGATTGGAACCCCACCTGGCCATCAGGCTGGTGAGGTTCAAAATGGGCCAACCCGATTGATCCTTCCTCATGTCCAGTCTCATGCTAATAATCACCGTCCCACCTTCCTTCTCACCAATTTGTCCATCGCCCTTGCACGCCTCCCACATGTCCCTCGTCTCCCTGTCTCGGACAGTTCCCTCGCCAACAACCGGCTCACCAGCTCCATCCCCGCTGGCATTGGCTTGCTGACAAAGCTGGTAGCCATGTAAGGATCCATTGTAGGTGCTTCGCCCACATTCCTAGGCATGAGCAATAACCGAACCAAAACCACTTGCGCACCAGATGGGGGTGGAGAGTTTCAGAACCGCGCTCTTCAAGCCTTCAAGTCTTAAGGCACACGACACGGATTTTGCTCATGCCTTGATTGAACACCCTGATTGGGACAGGTCGCTGGTCTCCAACCAGCTCAACGGCTCCATTCCGGCAGACATTGGCGCCCTCACCAAGTTGACAATTATGTAAGAAGATACGCTTTTGTTGTTCTTCTCACATCTCCTGTGCTCTCCCAGGACTCTTTCCCCCCCTTTTCAGTATAGCACGACCTCTTTTATCTCCCTCAGTTCTCCCCTATATCCCTTCACTTCCCTGTTTCGATTGTTCACTTCCTTTTCCCTTCATTGAGATCTTCTCTTCTTTCTTGTGATCGAATTCGCACAATATATTTTCTGCAAGTGGATGTCGCAATATCATAATTCCAATATTCGTGTTGCCTCACATTCTTCTAGCATTTGCCTCGTCTCGTCTTCTCCAAAGGACGACCATCTTCATATGCTAATCACCCTTTGTATGGTCTTACCCAACCTCATCGCTGTCCTCCCTCGCTTCAGTCTGGTCTTCTCTTGTATGCTATAACGTCACTATAACCCCAGTGGTATTTTATAATCTGGCTTCATTTCAGAGCCGTTTCAAGCAACCAGTTGTCTGGCAGCATTCCTGCTGCCATCAGCACACTCGCCCAACTTCTTTGCCTGTTAGTGACTCTCTACTCTAGTCTAGTGCTGTCAGTTTCCTCTCACAGGGGAGCTTCTTCTTTATGTTAAGCGTGAGCTAACAACATTAGGGGCGTACATGCATGCATTAAAGTCTTTTGCGAAGCACCCATTTAGATCCCATGATCAGAGTTGTGACTGGATGGGGTGTGGTGAAAAGTGGTGCTCAGATAAAATCTTCCTGGTGTAGTAGCCCCATTCTATTTCCCATCACAATATCACTGGTTTCTACTTACTCCCCTACTTTCATACATACACCAAATCCGGCGAGACTATCATCAGCCTTCTTCTCATCCTAGTGCTTGATCGGATCAACACGATTTGGTTCTGTGCAGTTTGGTTTGTTTTTTTCTGAATTGAGCCATCGTCCTTGAGCCACAAGTTTAGTACGGACCAGTTTGGGTGTGAATATAACCTTGAAACCAGAGAGTGTTGTAGCTTTATTTCAAGCTCTAATTTTCTCATAGTCTACGACGCCCCCTTCCACCTAGTCATGACCATGTGGCCCGGCCTGACCCGACCCGACCCGACTTGGCTGGGCCAGATGGGTTCCCGGGTCGGGCCAGCTTCGAGCCAAGCTTGTGGAGGGTCTGACCCGACCCGAGTTTTGAAATTCGGGTCAGAACTGACCCGACCCCGGGTCGGGTCGGGTCGGGCCAGGCTGACCCGCCCTGTTACGGGGTACGGGTGTGTATTAGCTGTAGTGAAAAGTGCTGTGCATGCGGCGCCCGTCAATCAGTACGAATTGGTACTAGTTTATGTGCTGGGCCCACTTATGAACGGTGGTTGTTTTAAGACATGGCGCGTGCAGCCTCGAAGGTGAAATCGCACTAGTAAAACGTGAACTCGTGAGTATACTATCCCACCAGTGCGGTCTCCTTTAATAGCAGAGTAACATCTTCATAGTAAATAGAAATGTCGGAAAACATGGTTCTGTAGGCTTTAAAATAGCTACTAACTTAGCTTAGGTAACATTAGTGGCTGAAGTTTGGCTACTTGGCGTGGCGCGTGCTCATGCTCTGATGACCGTTCAATCCTCGACATCAAATTTATGTAGGGTTTCGAACCCTACAGAGTTGGCCCGGCCCGAATTCCCCGACCAAGACCCGATATCGGGTCGGGTCAATCCTGGCTCGAAACCCGTCCCGACTCAGCCCAAGTTCTGAATTCGAGGGACTTCTTAATCCTCGTCATCAAATTTGTCTAGGGTTTCGAACCCTACAGAGTTGAAATCGGGTTGGGTCAATCCTGGCCCAAAACCCGGCCCTGACTCGGCCCAAGTTCCGTACTTGGGTCGGGTTTTAGCTCGGGTTCGGTCGGGCCAACCCGCGCGGGGCACATTTCTGAAATCCCTGACCCGACCAGCCCTAAACCACGGGTCGGGTTGGTTAGGTTTTCCCAACTTCCTTGCTCAAATGTATCTTAACAGTCTAATCAATAGAACTGCTGCTCTCACAACCACGGCCTCCAAGTTTCTCTCCTTGAACATTCCGCTATCGTTACACTGGCTGAAACATAAAAAGGAGCTGTTATCTAAAAAGAACCGTGGGAAACACACCAATGTTAGGCTATGAGGGAGCTGGAGCTTTGGCGTGGCTCGGATAGTTGTTGAAAACAAACCAGCCGAACAGAAGAACTGGTTCAATTTGTTGAAAAAAAAAAACGGCCGCAAAAAAGAAAAACGGTATGGTTTGGGTAAAAAACGAACCGAACCGCCCTGAACCGAACCGCGGTTATTTTTTGTGCTCATGCGTACTTTAATCATTTCACCTCACTATAACCTCAGTGGTGTTTATAATTTGGCATTCTTTTTCCACTCAGAGATTTTTCAAGCAACCAACTGTCTGGCAGCATTCCTGCTACCATCAGCACACTCACCCAAGTTTCTTGCCTGTCAGTTGCCCTCTTGTCTAGTGCTGTCAGTTTCCTCTCGCGAGCTAAGAACACAAGGGGGTGACTTTGATACATACGTGTGTCCATGCAATGAAGTCATTCGTGGAGTGCCCCCTTTTTCCATTGTTTTGAATGGATGGGTTGCTGTACTTCAAATGTGGTGCTCAGTTGAATTCTCCTTACTTTGGTTAGCCCCACGATCTCTCTGTTCTTCTTATTGCCCTAGTTTCATGAAACATTTTCCTTCAAAAAGCCCACCAGCAGCATCCCACTTTGCATACTGGTGCATCATCATCCTAGAGTGCTGGTCTGGTTCTTCCCTCTTGCATTCGTACGCAATGGCAGGTCCCTCGGGAGTAATCAGCTCACGGGTTCAATTCCTGTGGAGATTGGCTCTCTACTATCTTTGGCATCCCTGTAAGGCTCCTTTCTGCCACACGAGCATAAGACTGGGCTAAGCTGGCTCGTTTTTGGGCCATGGAAAGCCGGTGGGCTGACAAGCCAAGCCGGAGTCTCCACTCGACGGGCCGGGCTGACTCGGCCCGTGGCTCGTCCGTCGTAGCAAGCCTTTGATAATGTGTGATCCCTCCCCCCCAACCTACTATCTCGTCTCTCTCGAATTGGTCACCTTTTTGACCTCTACATTTCCTTCTCGTCACTGGCCCCATTCCCTTCCCTATCGTGTCCTACAAACACGCCAATGAACTCATACTTTCTTTCCGTGCGTCCACCCGCCACATCATCACCACAGCTCTCTCAACTCCAACTTGCTCTCAGGATCTTTGCCCTCTGCAATCACAAAGCTCACTGCTCTTACTTTCCTGTAAATAATCCATTGTATTGTTTTTCTTTGTCAGAAACCTTTGCAGAGTGTGCAACAAAAGCTATTGTAGTAGCACAAGTTAGGTACGATCAAGGGCTGAGCCAGGGCAGGGCTGGCACAAATCAAGGTGGGCAGCTTTCCAAAGACAGTGATTCTCTGTGTTTGAACCACATCGTTTTATTCCATTTATGTGCTCAAACATTTGTTCACAGAACAGTTAAGCCTTGGAAAGTCCGTTTACAGCATTTGTGATTCAGGCCAAACTCGGGCAACCCTGTGACGAACCGCCCATGGCTGATTGGGACCCCACCTGGCCATCAGGCTGGTGAGGTTCAAAATGGGCCAACCCGATTGATCCTTCCTCATGTCCAGTCTCATGCTAATAATCACTGTCCCACCTTCCTTCTCACCAATTTGTCCATCGCCCTTGCACGCCTCCCACATGTCCCTCGTCTCCCTGTCTCGGACAGCTCCCTCACTAACAACCGGCTCACCAGCTCCATCCCCGCTGGCATTGGCTTGCTGACAAAGCTGGTAGCCATGTAAGGATCC